TATATATATATATATATATATATATATATATATATATATATATATATGTATATATTTTTTTTTTGTCAAAAGGGCCAGTTTATTTTCACTATAGTTGATTTATGACAGCAATAAAAGCATAAAACATTGACTGGGTGAACACTTCATAGATTTCTTAATGAAGTGAAATGTAGGGGTGTACCTCATGGAAGCTAATGGCCGTCATCGCCCCTTGATGAAGCTTTTTCTTAAAGTCTTGAGCTATTTTCAGTTCCTCTTCAGTGAAGCGGTTGTTTCTGTACAACACGCCGATCTTGACTGCAATCTTGATCAGGTTTTTGATGACTTTCTGAGCCACAGCTTTATTTCCTGTGTACTCCTTGGAGACCCGGTACAGTTCATCCATAATCTCACTGGTGGTGTCGTCTATGAACATTTGCACAGAGCTTCTGTTGGCCATGCTGCTGAGGATCTTCTTTTGGGCCTTCAAGGCCATGTCCTTGGAGCTGAAGACATCCATGGTTGCCTGATTATTAAGAGACGAAAACGTGTATTACATTTTATTCACATTCTTATTAATACTTCAATATTTATTTTACTACTATAAGACATTTTTAACGGCTTGTTAATCTAAGAAATGAGCTTTAGTGGGAGACGAACTGGCAAACGCTGCGGCTCGGCTGTTTCCAGTTCTCTGCAAATGGAGAACAATTTGAACAACTTCACACACGTTTGAATTTGTCTTTGCTTGAAAAAGATCTCATTATTCCAACTTGTTGCCAGACTACAGAAACTTAAGAATAAAATGATTGCATATTATGTATCCATATTACAGGAGTAAAAAATAATGTGCTAAATGTACGTCTTAAAAAGGGAATGTTTGCAAATAGACTTTAAAAAACAGCTTATTTCACACCTGTTTGTGGTTTGGTTTAACTTCTACTGCTGAAAACTTGAAGAAGGTGAATTTGTTCACATTTTTATCTGCACACTAAAAACTGCTGGGTTTAAAAACAGCCCAAGTGGTAACCCAGCCCTGGGTTAAATTTGGACCAGGCAAGGTTCAGTCATAACTGGGGGGAATTACGTTTTTTTTACCCAATAATGGGGTTGAAATGACTAATTTGTTGAAATGTACCACCTTTAAAGTTAAAAGTACACTTCAAAAAACTGCAATTAGATACTTTTAACTTGGGTTGTTGCTCGTTAGCTGGCGTTAACCTCTATTAGCGTCAGCTAGTTAGCACCAGTGTTATTTTAGGGAAACAAACTCACTATCTAGTGCAAACTAAAGTTATTAACAAACCCAGCCAGTTTAAAGACAAGTTATTTCTACTGTCTTATCTTTATACACTCTAAAGCTGAGGTCCCGTCAGGGTAACTTCGTCAACTTCTGGCCTAAAATGGTGAACTGTAAAAAAAATGGCACATTTCATCTGTAATCCAGTGGAGCAAACATTTTGACACATTAGGTTTAACAAACCCAACTTATGATCCAACCGTACCTGAGTTATAGTAACCAGCAGTTTTTAATGTGTATATTTTGCAACCAATACTGATTTACTACCTTAGTTTGTGACACTTCCTCATCATTTACCTCAAGTGTCTCCATAACTAATAATTCAAGTTGACATATTGTTCATAAAAGTAAAATGTGTGAAATAAACATTAATCATATATAATCCAACTTTAAAACTCTGCTTTTGCACCGTGTCTTTGTTTGTTTTTGTGTCTGGCAAACGCAAATGATGCCAAAAGGGAGAACAGCCATGGCACAGAGGCTTTGTACGTCTCCACTGAGATTTTAACCTCGCCTAGCATCCATCACAGAGGACCCCCACCCTGCCCCTGGGAGGTCGTAGGTGCACCCGCAGCGCACAGTGACCCAACTAAAAGCATCAGCTGTTCATCTTTACCAATATAGTTTGAAAAAAATGAATCTAGGTGTAAACTATATATTTATTTTTGAACAACGAAGCAATACAATTTAGAGTTATATACTCCAAGGATCTCTTTATTTATCTGATATTCTTTTTACATAGAGTTGGCTAAAAATAAGATTTATTCCTATGTAATACACAAGAGCACCTTGCAGAAACAATATCCTTTTGACTACTGGTAGATATAAGGAGTAAGTTTTGTAGCAAAATATGCAAATGTTTGGGTTTGATTCAGTTCTAAAAACTGAAATTGCTCAAATCTGTGAAAAAGTTTAGATTAATTTGACTCTGTGTGCTGAGTCAAATGGAATCAACACATAAATACTATCTTTAACGTATGAGCCACAGTGCTCTTATTTAGCCTTTTTTTGCTCATACATGTGTTTGAGTGTAGATGTGCGTCTTTTAACATCTTTCATTATTTCTTCTTGCCTGTGTGGACAAGTTTCATGTAGTAGCTCGTAAGCTGCATAGTTGAGACAGGTCCATGCGTGCTGTTTCTACGTTGCATCAGTGCTAGCACAAGAACAAAACGTGTGCACCGTGTACCGAGTGGGTACCTTCATTACTGAGTCCACTTTGAGTCAAACGTTAGAGACTCTTAGCAGCAGCTTGTTATCCTTAAGCTGATGGCCAAATGAGTTCCTGACAGTTGTTTAATGTACCTCTCTTGTCCATGTTTGTGCTTTTTAGATCGCATTATGGAAGAAATGATAATATCTTGCTCTAGTCATGCATAGTCAGTAAAATGGGTTAATGCCTCCACCATCTTGTAATATATGAAGGGTTTTTCCATTCATAATAAAAGCCCGTTTATTGCACATGATATGCAGATTGTCCACACTTCTTGTAACGCATCACGAAAGCATAATAATACCATCACTATTAGGATTTTAGCAAGTGACATTTGACTTGCCGAACCATTAATTACGGACGCATGTCACATTTTAATGATTGTGTTCCAAAATCTTTGGGTTTCCTGTGGTGAAAAAAAAACAAAAACCATTCATTAGATTAATTTCCTTCGACAGTGATAATGGAAGTGGAGCAGTGTGATAGCTATTCCACGTTCACGTTTCAATCTTGTTTATTTGCTAAAGACTTGGGGGGGGGGGGGGGGGATTGAGGAACGTGTGCAGTCATCAGCCAGTTTTCCACACAGTGAAACTCCCACAGCAGGATGCTGCTCACTTCTGTATCAGGGCGACAACGCCGAGTTTTGAAACATTTCAGTAGTATAACAGACTACTGCCGTAGAACCACTTTTCTGTAATGGACATCATTTAGCCGCTTCGTGTTGAGCAGCAATTTGTTGGTACAATTGGATAGAAGAGGGCCTTTGAGTATTTATCAGTTTGTTGATGACATGCACCAGGGAGAGACCGCATTACACGTTCAAGTGTTTGTTTTCCTCCCAAATGCCTGCTGAAATTGATGAGCACGTGCACGTGTGATTTTGCAGGGAAAACAACAAAGAAGTTGAGACGATGACACACGGAGAGGATTTTAAAGTGCTCGAGAGGCGCTTTAACAGCCAGGCTGTTTGTCGCAGGCCTGCAGTTAAAAGGGGTCCTGAATGGTGGAGTGATGGAGGCAGGCAGCGCAGGTAAATATTTAGCATTCCTCAGACCTTTGAGCTGCAGTGTCTGCGTGCATGTATGAACTTGTGTGCATTGTTAGGTAAAATTCATTTCTAGATGCTTTTGCAGGCTTTTGTGAGGTAAACAAAAGAAAAGTCTTGTACTTGAATGATGCTTTTGACATTACTGCTGATTTGTGCTCATGATAAAAATATAAAAAACGTCAGAAGAATTAGAAAGTGTCATTTCATTGTCAATGAAAATATGCTTTGACAGTCATTAGAGCAAAAAGAGGCATGTTACTTGTGTTTTATCACAAAGCCTTGGATAGGCCAGACTGCTGCTCATAAAGAAGGTCCCTTAATGGCTCACTGTGTTTGATCAGATCAAACAATAAAAGCCTTCCAGAAAAGTGCACGTTATGTCATTGAATCAGATTTTTTTTTTTTTTTAAATCTAGCAGCCTATTTTTAGAAAGTATCTGATAATTAACCTGTCTAAATAAAGGTTGAACGATTGAAAGAATGGCATCTCCTCAAAAGAAGGAAACTTCTTTTATTACCAACAATTCAAGATGAAACGGAAACAATAAAGATATTATATGTATCTGTTCTTACTCGGCAACCTGTACCAGAACGAAACGTCACTTCCGTTGAAAAGGCTGTAGATTTCTTGTTCACTTTTGTAACTTGCTCATACGTCCTTGTCCAGTGTAAAATCTGTTTTTTTTATAACAATCATGACAAATGACTCGCTTAAATGAAACGTCCTCAAAAGTAACATTCCAGTAAGCATTTTCAAACCCTTTCTTGAGAGCGTGTTGCAGTTTTTCTTCCAACATTGCACAACTTTTCAAGTTGCCGTTGTTCAGCTTGCCACACATCTGCATTAAAAAGGAAGCGAAACAGCTGTTAAACTGACTTTGTCCCTCGTTTCTACTCGTATTGGAATTGACATTGCAACAGTTTACTGTCTTGACCTGCAACACATCAAAGTATGGCAGAGAAGGAGGTAAAGTCCAACTGCCTTTGAGATTTTTTTATGCAACTCTCTGCCTGTGCAAACAAAAAATGTGAGCTCTCCATATGTGCCTGTCACTGTACTTGTTGCAGCACGACTCTGAGCGCGCACATCACTCAACTCATGCTCAAGATGGGGAAGTGGAGAGGCTCAGTTTCCAGTCATCTTTTTGACTCGCTCTGTCTCTGCTATGTTCCAGACGCAACAATCTTGAATTGCACAACAATACCCGGTAATAATAAGAAACACATTTCTGACTGCAGTTTTTAACTCTAGTAAGCGAACCCAGAAGTGTCTTACCTGAGTGTTTGCTGTTTCCTCCTCCCTCCTTGTGTGTCAGATGTTTATCTCCCTCTGCCCTTTGTAACACGTTGGCAACGCAGGCTGGTCAGTTTACCAAAATGCTTTCATCTTCACCAAGAGAAGAACAGAAAGACCTGAGAGAACAGCCGTCTTGCAGCGCTTCTGTCAGTGCTCGCCACCCTGTCTTAAGATAATGGTGAGTTTTACTTCCTTGAGGAACTAAATTGTTATGACACACCCCTCAGCGTGTCACAGTCTCTCTTTCTCCCTCTCTTTTTCTCACTACACTATTTCTTGTTTTCCTTTGAAATTCAAATTCTCCAAAAACTTGTATTTCTCTCTCTGCGCTCACACCAAACTTTATCACTCACTACTGGATCCGACTGTCTCCTCTTCACTGTAAATGCTGCTGACGTTGCACCTCTGCTTGTTCTGACAAGTGAAAACCTCAGGAAGAATTTGGCAATAATCCTGCAATGCAGCCAGTTGAAAGGGGAGCGGCTTAACCCCTTATTGTGTGCACACCTATGCAGGAATGCAGCTCTCATCAGTACTGCGTCCCTCCCCATGTGCCTCTTATCCAAGGCAGGACCAAAACAATGAGTGGCCACGAGTGTCTCTTACGGACACATAAAAGCTCAATGTCTACTCAATTAGCTTTGTAAAATTATTTAAATTTGGTGAAAAGAAAACATTCCAAACATAACTAATAACAGTTTGTTCACAAACATTTATCTGTGTATTCTATAAAGTTTTATACTTGAGGTGTGGTATGCCATAAATGAAGTTCTGTTTTGCACCGTCATTTTTATCTGAACGTCTGTTACTTACAATACCAAATGAAGCAGTCTTAAGCCCTATTCACATGGGATTAGTTTTACCTAAGGACCACATGCTATTTGTAATAATTACGGAGATTGTCTGTGTTGTTAATCCCATGCGAATCGGCCATGTCAGTAATTTGTAAAGTAAAAATCCCCCTGCGAATTACCTACTATGTTTTGCTGAACTCCGAGGTCCTGTGATAATACTAATCCAATGCGAATAGGCATCTCTGTGATTTGGACAGAAATGGGCGGGATACGATAGTAATGAGTTTTTTTGTTTGTTTGTTTTTGTTTAAGCAAAATCATTTGGAAAAATATAGAACAAGGCTATTTTAAATGAACGCGCTGCTCGCTTCGTAGCAGCTTTTATGCTGCTACTTCCTTCACCGCAGATGACGGCAGGTGTGGAGACGCACGCCTGATCATCCCATCCATCCATCCATCCATCCATCCATCCATCCATCCATCCATCCATCCATCCATCCAATTTACCTGTTTCTTCCTTTTTGGGTAGCGGAAGTCGCTGGTGCCCATGTCCAGCCATCACTGTGCGAGAAGCGGGGGACACCCTGGACAGGTTGCAAGTCCATTTCAACCGGCGGGTCAGCGGACGCGTGGATGCTCACGCGCACGACCGGTGACAGTTGTCCATCTGAGCTTAAACTGTCCTTTTTTTTTTTTTTTTTTACCTCTTATTTAAACCGGCCGGTCGGACCTGCCTCCTCCTCAACAAGTAGATTAACACAATTTTATATTGTGCATTCTTTAGTTTTGTTAATTCGTAAAACCACATCAAAGTCTGAGACCGGCCCAGCCTGCACATTAAGCACATTATTATGGACCGGCCCAGTTGTGACAACGCAACGCGTTAACGTCATATCCGGAAGATGTCTGTAAATTTTAGCTAAATCTCAGTCTTTGGTTATCCCGTGCGAATGCGCCACATAAAAAGCAGACGTTGGAGTAATTTATTTATTACATATAGTCCCTAGGTAAAACTAATCTCGTGCGAATAGGGCTTTAGCTGCAAACATGTCTGCGAACCTAAAGCTGCTAATTCAACAATCCCAGTGAAATCAGGAAGTGTCCCCTGCTTCTGCACTTATGTTTATTTATATACTCCGTCTGAATGACAGCTAGATGTGTTGGAGGACTGGTTGCTGAAGCTCGGGCCATTCATAGAAAGACACATCTATTGAGCACTTAAATGTTAATTGTTGTCAGTTGTCGGGTTTAAAAGGCGCTCTCCGACCAGAGAGGAGTGTCTGGACAGGAGTCAGCCCACCAGCGTGTCTCGGAGACCCCAGCACACCTGCTTCTTTGTTTGGCCTCCCCCTCAGTCTGTCTGTAAGAAATTAACTTGAGTAAAAGTTGTGGGGAAATCTGCAACTGCAAAATGAGGTAGTCACCATAGCAACAGACAGGAAGTAGTGCTTAAGCGGTTTCCTGATGGCTTCCTCTTTATCGTATAATGACATCTCACAAGGAAACATCGGTGGGGAGAATTCAGCTGAACACACTTGGCAGTGCATGTGTTTGAGCGTGTGAAGGAGTTACACAACGAACTCTTACTTGCTTCACCTCACCACTGTTTCGCAGCCTACGTACACAACTTCTTTGGTTAAAAGATAATAGGAGGGTCTTAAGTTTTGCCACTTATCTTTCATTAAAAGGTCTCGAGAATCATCGAATGACCATCCTCACTCGCACACATAGTTACTCACACAACGGCAGTGTGTGATTACGAGATGACTAAGACGAATAATAAACTCCATAACCACGGAGGTCAGAGAAGTGCACTTGAAGATTTGGATCTGGAACCGGATGGAGTATGGTTCTTTCTGCACGTTTGAGTGGTTTCACTCTGCGTTTGAAAACCGGTTGTGAGAACAAATCAAGATGAACAAACGCAGCTGGATCATACCTTTCAAACCGTTCCCCCTCATCTGCAACCTTTTTGAGTTGTAGAGAACCCAAGTAAGACCTCAGCATTAGACTTCTAGCCCTTTAGACTTTGGGGAGGTTTCTGGTATCATTACTTGCCAAACAGTTTATATTACATGTCTGTTTAAAAAAAAAAGTGGCACAGCTGGTTTGTACTGTTGCCTTGCAGAGAGAACGTCACAGATTCCACTCCTGGCTGGGGTCTTTCTGTGGAGAGTTGGCATATTGTCCACGTGCATGAGTGTTTTTTTTATATTTTCCCCAGGAACTTTGGTTTCCTCACACACTCTGTAACTGGCTACTCTAAATCGTCATTAGGTGAGAGTGTGAATGGTAGTCTGTTGTTTTTGTCTCTGTGTCCCTGTGATGGACTGGAGACCTGTCCAGGGTGTCCGCCTTTCACCCACTGACTGCTTGAGATCGGGACCAGCTGTTTGTGACCTTCAACAACAACGAGGTAAAGAAAAAGGATGGATGATATGAAAACATGGATGACATCAAGACATATTTTTTTTGCACTAGTTTTTATTCTTCAACAAAACTAACTAAAGTCAGAAGTCTTAATGGATATTTGACAGATTATTATTATTTTTTTTTTATATAGTAAGAGTAGTGCTTCTTTTCAAACGTGTGACTCAAATCAGGTGATAAATATGTAAAAGAAAAGTTTTAGCTTGAATAAAAATATAGCACTTGTAGGGGTCTACCCACATACTTTTCTTCAAAAAACATATTTAAATGTGTTATTTAAAAGCAAATAATAGTATGACAACCAAAAATCTCTGTATTTGTCACATTTTAGTTTCACCAAACCATAAAAAAACAAAGCAATGAACTTTTGGTTGTCCTTAAAGCCCACCAGTACTCCTTCGATAGTCCGCTTTAGCTTTTATTAGCAGTAGGTATTTGGAAAAATACGTTTTTTTGTCCATATAAGGATTGATGCTGTTAAGTTAAAGTCAAGTGAGAAAAAACAAACAAAACAATATTCATAACTTATTTATTATTATTTATTTATTTTATTGTTTACCCCTGTTATGGCAACATGTAGTTATTTGTTTTAGGAACCAAATTGAAAATATTTATAAAACTCAATATTTAAGAATAAAGAAGTTTTGTGAAGTTTTAGCACATTTGGTTACGCTTTGATTGAAACATCTTTTTAAATGTTGCCTCAGATCATTTTTACTAAAACAGTTCTTGATTTAAATAGCATCCATCCATCCATCCATCCATCCATCCATCCATCCATCCATCCATCCATCCATCCATCCATCCATCCATCCTCTTTACCTTCTTCCTTTGTGGGTCACAGTTGCCCATGTACAGAAGTCACTGTGCGAGAGGCGGGGTACACCCAGGATGGGTCTCCAGTCCATCACAGGGACACATGGAGACAAACGAAACAAACAAGCATTCACTCTCCCACTCACACCTGGGGACAATTTAGAGTTACCAATCAGCCTAACGTGCATTTTTTTGGTCTGTGGGAGGAAACCGGAGTACCTGGAGAAAACCCACGCATGCACAGAGAGAACATGCAAACTCCACCCAGAAAGGTCCCAGGCCGGGATTTGAACTGGTGACCTTCTCGCTGAGAGGCGGCAGCTCTACCAACTACACCACTGTGACGCGCAGCTTGAATGTCATTATGCAAATGAAAAACAAACAAACAAGTGATGGTAAAGTAGCTATGATTTTCATTACAAATGAAACATTCCAGCTTTCTAAGATGGACCTAAAAATCATTCATTCATTCATTTTTTCACTGCAGGTGCAGTAAGAACATGAAAAGCTCTAGGCTTTTGTTTATATTGTAGTATTTCTAAATTATCTCTAGGTGTGAGTGAGAGAGTGAATGGTTGTTTGTCTTGTTTGTCTCTAAGTGTCCCTGTGATGGACTGGGGACCTGTCCAGGGTGTCCCCGCCTCGCTGGATATGGACTTCAGTGACCCCGCTGACCCGAATAAAAGGGTAAAGATAATGGATGGATGGCATCTCCTCCTAGTGGTTGAAAAAAGTAGTGACAGCAGTCACCTAGTTCATGCTCGATAATCTGATAAAAATCCAGCAATGTTCAGTCAGGTCATCTGGACGGTTTCTTTTATTGCTGAGACGTTTCGTCCTTTATCCAAAGGACTTCCCAATGACAGCAGTCATTTACTCGTCCTTTTTGCAATTCGGCGATGCTTTTCAATAATATGATAATATTTGAACATTTCTGATTAATGTTCTGTGAAGTTGGTGGGAAGCATCTATTATTTAGCAGCAGTTACTGTATGTTTTACGCTTTCCATTATTTCCAGCTGCTCCTTCTTCAGGGGTTTCCACAGTGAACTAACTCGCACGAAGACTTGGCGATTGTTTTAACGCCTGATGTCCTTCCTGACACAACCACTGACCACCGAGCTACCATAGCCCTCTGAGTGGAGCAGAGAGCTGCTATCTAGGGCACCTGGGGGGGCTTGCTCAAGGGCACAGAGTGGGGCAAATGAGGGTGGAGACAGGTGTGGGTGCTTCACCTTTCCCACTCTGGTCTGGTGAGTTGAACCGGCGACCTTCTCTAACCTCTGCGCCGTCTCCTGTGTTTATATGTTTTACGTCTAGAATAACGTATCCTAGTTTGTTTATCCTAAACTGGGATGCACCTACTAGGTGGTGCATCCCAGTTTAAAGAGAGCTCACCACATGTTACAGAGGTTTGACTTTTGTTTC